TCAAGGGCGAGAACATTTGGGGCAGGAGGCAGAGACTCCCAGGGAGCTGAAACAGTGGGTTTTGGCGGAGAGGGGACAGGTACCTGCACATGTTACACCCACCTCCAGTGACCTGGATACCTGCAGCCAAGGGTCCAGGCCTGAAGCTGCTCTGCACCTGGGGCCAGGTGGCCACCTGCATGCTGCCCCAGCCCAGAGTGTGGGGAACCACAGAGATGACTCCCCTTGGAAGAAGAGCAGCTGTGTCCCTTTGGGGTAAACCTGGCCCTGTCCCCAGGATGGATACATACAGGGCTGCTGGGTTCTTTCTTTATCCCTTCGGATGGCTCTAAGCAGTGTGAATCAGGGTGGCTGAGGAGCCGATGTGGGATCTCTGAAGCAAAGGACAGGTCAGTGTCACCCTGCCCAGCGACTCCCCAGGATGGAGAGCCGTGCTCCATGCTGTGGGCTGGGATGGAGCCCCAGGAAAGAGGCTGTGACCTCCCAGGACCAACAGGACTGCACATCAGAGCTGAAGCACCGACCCAGAGTATTAGATGCTACCTCAGCTGTGCTGTGCAGAGTGCTCTCCCTGCATGTCCTCTGCATGTCCCAGAGGGGACCCCAGGCCTCCCCCAGCGCAGCTCACAGCAGTCACTGTCTCCCACCACTCTCACTGTCACCCGTCCCCGAGCCCCTCCCCTCATGGAGAATTAATAGACCCCGACGGGGCTCTGGGTGGAGGCCTTCGGTCTGGTGAGCACCATCTGGGCTGGGCTCAGGACCCTCGGCTCCCCACAGCTGTGGATACGGCTCAGTGTCTTTATTCTCACCGTGGGCTGCACTGGATGGGGTAGACTGGAACTAACTCACCAGAATCCCCAAACTTCTTGGGATTATAATTGTGAATCTTCCTGGACCACGACCAGGGTGGGAAAGGGTTCACCATCCAGAAGACAGCTAAGGGTTCCACAAGCCTCACGTGGAACTGGGCTGTGCTGCTGCTGCAGGGTGGAGCTCAGGGGTGCAATGATTTCCCAGCATGGGCTAGGCCTTGGGTTCTACTCTCTTGCCCCACAAAAGCAACAGGAATTACTTTGGTTGGGAATCTGGGGCCTGGGGCTGAGTTCAGCCCTACCCTAAACACGTCACTGGTCTTTAGGCCTCCTGGGCTCCTCTGCAAAACAGGGGTGCAGAGGCCCGAATCTCAGCACCCACTGGCTCTGACTCTCCGAGGGTCTCGGCCCCAGGCCCGGGGCCGACCGCCCACTGTTTCTGGGTGCGTCTTGTGACTTCCCTGGGAGGGACCTGTGGGAAGATCCAAGGCTCTAGGCACACAGAAGCTTCTTTGTCTCCGGCCTCAACTCTTGTGGAAAATAATCGCCCTTTCTCTTCACTTGCCCTCTTCCTCCCTGATAAGCAGGCATGAAGTGCGTCACTGCGCCTGCCCAGGGCCACAGGAGGAGCTGAAAGTGGCTGCATGTCAGGGGCCCGGGCACCAGGGCCAGGCTTCACTGGGCCAGGAGGCGGGCAGGAGCAGCTGAGGAGGACCTGGTTCGGGGACCAGGTTACTCTGGGGTTTTCAGGGGAGCCCTGTGCACTGGGCTTCTCCAGGGCAGTGCATCCCTGTCCCTGAGGTGGGTGTTGGAGGAGGAGGGCAGCTGTGCGTGGAGTTGCCCAGCCTCGTGCTGGTTAAGTTCTGGTCCTGACACTGTAGACACCGGCATCCATGTGGGCCCACAGCTTCCTAAGCAGGGCCTTTCATCTTCAGAAGAACCGGGGGCATCAAGAGAGCACCTCTTATCCCCACTTTACAGATGGGGACAGTGAGGCCCAAAGAGGGGCTGGGACCTGCCTGGGTCACTCGGGGTTGGGGCCACTGCTTCGATGGCCTCTCCTCTCTGTGCTTGGGATGTTTCCAGACACAGTGGGTGGCATGACACTGTGACTCCAGGAAGGAGGCTGTGGGTCAGGGTCCGGCAGGGTGGGTGCTGGAGTCCCACAGGCAGGTCCTTGAGAGGGTGACAGGGCAGGGAGGCTCAGACATGTCTGGTGCTGGGGACGGCACCCAGGCCCTTAGTAACAGTTTCCTGGATCCCTCAGGTCCCAGCTGTCCTGCCCATCCTGTCACTGGTGGGAGTGGTGACTCAGCCCTGCCGCAGCTCCCAGGAGGTCAGCAGCTCCTGCTCGGGGGGAGGAGCCCCGGAGGGCTGAACCCTGGGGCTGGGGCTGGAATCTGGGGGCTGCAGGTGTTATGCACATCTTTTTGGGTTATTTATTTATTTGGTACCAGGGATTGAACTCATGGCCTCGTACTTGCGAGGCAGGCACTTATACCACTGAGCCAAATCCCTGGCCCTTTTCGGTTTATTTTTTATTATGTATTTATTTACTTATTTGAGACAGGGTCTCACTACATAGTTTAGTATCGACTTGAACTCACTGTGTAGCCCAGGCTGGCTTCGAACTCACAGTGACTCCCCTGCCTCAGGTTCCTGAGTGCTGGCATTACAGGAGTGCTTCACCATGCCCAGCATTTGTGGGGTTTTGCAGGACTCACAGAAGGCATGGTCTGTGGGTGGCTCCTGAGCAGGAGACACCAGCTCTGGCTAAGGACACTGAGAGTGTGATGAGGGACAGAAAGTCCTGCCTCCTCCCCCTCACCACCCGATGTGGAGAACCTTCGAGGACTGGCCCGAGGGATGTCCCCTCAGACACAGGAGCCCTGGGTGGTTCTCCAGCAGAGTGCCTCACGGGGCCGCACGTCTTGCTTGGGGGAGCAGTGATGGCGGGGAAGCACCTTTGGGGAGGCCCAGGGATCTCAGGGCCACACCCTTGGCTTGGGCAGCACAGGTGAGGATGAGGCAGACAGCTGTGAGAGATGTTGGGCAGTGGCTGACAGGAGCCAACGAGGAACCTAGGAAACCACAGGGCCGGTGGGGCGAGGCCCGCAGGTGCCCTGTCTGCTGCGCATCTGCACCTGTGGGCTTGGCCAGGTGGCCTGGGGCCGCCTTTGCTGGGACCTGGGACTGCAGTCCAGGCCAAGGGCCCGCAAGTGCTGCCAGGAGCCCTGCACCTGGCCTCCGCTCAGCTCAGCTCAGCTCTCGAGAGGCCAGGGGCTTTTCCTCCTGTCCTCCTGCTCCTTTCTGATTTAGCAGGAGCTGTCTAGTTCTTTGGGCAGGGTGGTGGTGTTAATCCCCACTTTGCGGATGGGGAAGCTGAGGCCCAGAGGAGCTGGGTGTGCCCAGGCTCTCCACCCCCCAGCCCTTCTTCCCACCCCTCCCGTCACCACTGCCTCAGGAACAGGAACTGAACACGCCGGGCTCTGAGAGGCACTTTTCCTGCAGCTGCCTTTGCTGATTAATTGTAGTACTGGGGATTGAACCTGGGGCCTCCACACTGAGCTGCAGCCCAGGCTTTTTTTAATCTTTTAATTTTGACACAGCTTGGGGGGCACAGTCCTGGCTGAGTTTGCACTTGCGATCCTCCTGCCTCAGCCTCCCAGAGTGCAGGGATTGTAGGTATGCACAGCCCTGCTTGCCTGTCCTGAGCGGCACGGCCTGGCTGGCTGTGGAGCCCTACCTATCAGAACAACCCTGTCTCAGCGCCCTCTGCCCCTAGATGGGCTGAAAGGTGTCAAGCTGTGGGGCCTGAATTCCCCACCCCACACGGCCCTCTGGGGCCCAGTCTGCTGCTGCCCACCGACCAGGTGGCCTGGAGGCGGCCAGGGGAGGTGCAGGGAAACCCTCCTAGCAGAGGACAAGAGTGAGGTTGGATCAGGTCCCCTGCAGAAGCCACCCTGCTGCCTGCCAGAGCTGGCTGGGCGCCCACCTGGGCTGACCCAGCCCTTCTTCCCTGAAGCCAGCGTGTTCTTGGGGACAGGCCGCTGAGGACTCGGGCGAGTCCATGTCGGCATCCAGCGCCCCAGGGCCCAGGCCTGTCTTCTGGCCGCCATGCATCTTATTGACCAGGTTCCCCCAGCACCCCAGCGGGCCTTTGCTCCGCCGGCGCCATCTAGAGGCAGATAGGCCACACATCAGCGAGGGAGAGCGGCCTGAGACCTGGACTGCCCCAGGCCACCCCCGCCCTGCCCTCCTCTCCGCCACCCGGCCTGCTCTCACCTTTACACCTGCACGAGGGGGCCTCGCAGGCCACGGGTGAGGAGGGTGTGAGGGGAGAGTGACACGGGCAGCCCGGGAGAGCCAATGCCCAAGGTGTCCCTGGGGTGCGCTGTCCACCCAGCCCCTGCCCAACTCCACCCAGGCCGTAAGCCTCCTCCTGACCCGTCCCCCTGCCCTGAGCCTCCCCAACCTGCCTCCCTCTGCCCCCAACCTCCAGCCCTGTGTGCCCCCCAAGCTGTGCCCAGCACCCACCCCCTTACTCATGGGAGACCCAGGTGAGCCTCCAAAGTGGCCGAGGGGACCATAGCCTGGTGGGAGTCCCACAGATGATGCCGCCGGTCCCTCTGCAGGCCTGGCCCCTTGGGCTAGGCAGGACTTGTGGGATGGTGGCTACAAAACTGACTTCCCAGTAGGGTCACCAGAAGCAGGAGGTGACTCTTGAGTGGAGGAGCTTGTTGCTGTGGCCTTGGAACTAAGTCAAGACTGGATTCTGCTCATTGACTGAGGATGTGGTATCTTACACAATGGAGTACTACTCAGTCATAAAGTAGGATAAACTGGAGACTTTTGTAGGTAAAGGGATGCAGCTGGAGGCCATACTGATAAGTGAAATAAATCAGACACATCTGTGTAAACATATCACTTCCCCAGTGTGCTGAAGGAAACCACGTATGTATGTGTATATAAAAAGATGGTTAGGATAGTTACACCACTGATTTCTCCGAGTTCACTGAGGAGAAAGGTTTGCACCGGTGTGGTTTGGACAATTGAAGGCAGCTGTCTCCTGCGCTGGGTGACTGATTTGGGGCTGGCACTGCACAATGTAGGTACCATTGTTGTCACCTGAGTGTTGGGTTTCAAATTTTTTTTTCTCGAAATAAAATGGATTTAAAAAAAAGACTGGATTCTGGGGTTTTATTTTTGTACGGTTACTGGGCATCGGGACTGCAGAGCCGCGCTGACCCAAAGTCCTGTAGCAGACGATGCCCCTCCCCCCAGCATGCTTCGGTCTGTTCACTGCCTAGGTGAGTTCTGGTTCCCCTCCCTGCTACCTTTGTAGAAACAGCTGGCCCCTGTGATGCATATGTAAGAGCCAGTCCCCATGGACACGCCATTCTGCCTCTGTCCTTCCTGCTCACTTATCCCATAGGAGGCCCTGACCACCAGAGATCAGAGCCTGATATTTTGGGAGTGATCCCCTCAGTGCCTGTCAGTGTAAATAAATCTGCCTCCGAATCCCGGGTGTTGTCTCTGTTTCTGGGTGCCATTGCACCCCGGCACCTGCTGAATGCCACCCACCATGACCGTGGATCCCCGTCCAGCAGGCAGCGAAACAGGCCTATGAGGGCCTGTGGGGTATGAACCCCTGCGCCCTGGAGTGGCTCCAAGGTCAAGGACCCCATTGCCTGTCCCCAGGTTCATGGTTTTCCACCCAGGAAAATGAGGCCTGAAAAAGTGTTTGCAAAGAGGCATTTGGGGCGCCTCACAGGACACTCCTCTGTGTTGAGGGCCAGCCTGTGCTGGGCAGGCCATGCCAACAGGGTCCAGGGCTGTGCCTCCCCTCACGGTGGCCCTGGGAGCTGCAGGGACCGGACTTGGAAGCCAGGCAGAACCCCAACAATCTCCGCACCGATACCTTCTGCCCCCCTTCCCTTCCCTTCCCTTTAGGCTGCCGGGCCTTGGGCCATCTCAGTGCTGTTCAGGCTGCAGACCAGGCTGTGGGTGCCCTCAGGGGCAGCCCAGCTCAGAATATGTTGAATTTAATATGCAGAATATATTTAATATGTAGAATAGATATATTCTTTTGAAGTAGGATCTTGCTGAATTGCCCGGGGTGAAGTCAAGCTTGTGATCCTCCTGCCTCAGCTTCTCAGAGTACTGGAATTACACTAGTATTCGTGGACTTGCTTATGCATGTATCTACGTATATATGTAAGTACTGAGAATTGAATCCAGGAGCTTGCAAAGGTGAGTCAATTCTCTACTACTGAGTTTCACACCTAGCCCTTTTAACTCATTTATTGTTTGACTAATTAGTTTATTTTAAAGTTTCTCTTTTTATTTATTGAGACAGGGTCCCACTACGTATTCCAGGTTGGCCTTGAACTCACTGTGGCCCTCCTGTCTCAGCCTCCCAAATACTGCGATTAGTGGTGTGCACCACCACGCCTGGTTATCTTTGAGACGGATCCCACTCACTAACCCGCACAGGTTGGCAGTCCTTCTGCCTCAGCCTCCTGAGTAGCGCAGTCCTCCATGCTTGGTCAGTTTCCCATCTCTAAGATGGAAATCCAGCCCCGTATACACGACCTCAATGTGTTCCTTCCTTACGGAGCCACCTCATGATTCCGCAGATCCACACTTCCCTGCCCGGCCTCCTGGCCCCTTCCCGCTGTAAGCGGTGTTGCTGTGACCCTCTCCAGCTTCTGTGCTCAGCACCGCGGTGACCTCTCCCAGCTCCTCCCTGCTGCTGGCTGGCACAGTGGGTACTGAGAGCAACCCAAGGGGCAGTTGGGTCTCTTTGTCCCGACCTCGACCATCATCATGGGCTCTGGTCTATGTCGTGAGCTGGACACGTGCTGCTTCCACAGCTATGGCCTCTGGGTCCTCCACCGTCTGGGCTGTTGCTCCTCCCACAGCCACTGTCATGCGGTAGTGGGACTGCTTGTGTGATGAAAGAAGAGGGAGCGGACAACCGGGGCTCAGGACACGGGACCCCGGGGCTTCTTTTGCTGGAACATCCCGGTTATGGAGGACACACTGTGTGAGCTTGAGAAGTCCGGAAGCTCAACTAAGTAACTCAGCAGCTGCGCCTCCTGGGTGCTCTTAGAGGAGGAGCACCAACGGCTGGTGCTCCGGGGAGCGCTGGTCTCTGCCTTCGGCTTGGACGTGGTCTCCTGGCTTCTGGCACAGACTACTCCGCTTCTGCCTGGGACTCTTCAGCTTTTGTCAGAGACCCTTCAGCCTTCTGCTGTGGATTCTTCAGTGTTCCATGGCAGACCCATCGGCCTCCTGATACGGACCCACACAGGACACTGTGGTGAGCGCCAGCCTTGAGCTGCACCCTCAGCCCCCAGCGTCAGACCCCTTCTGCAGCTTCCTCATCGCCTCTGTGGCTGACCGTCGTAAGCTCATCGTGTAATTTCTTACAATTTGTGTATCTTGTGTCGTACCTGTTTCTCTAGTAAATCCTGACTGATACAAACCCTGTCTTTTAATTTTGTTTTAAATTTCAAGATGGTCTCAACAAGTCACACAGATTAGGCTCAGACTTGTGAATTTCCTGCCTCGGGTTTCTAAACCACAGGGGTAGATCCAGGGTCTTAAAAGTTATCGTCTGTCTCTTTTCCTTGTTGTCCTTTGTGGCTGGCTTTATTTATTCTCTGCCAATATGGACCCCTCCTCCACAACACACCCAGCTGTCGTCTGATAGCTTCTGCCCTGGTGCCCTGCTTAGGAATGAAAATTCCTAAACTGGACTGTGGAAAGAACTCATCCCTTCCATCACCCAGGCTCCCACCCGCCCACGCCAGGAGTGTGGAGTCCTGTCTTCAGTCCCAAGAGGAGGAATACTTAAGCCCAAGGAATTTGAGACCAGCTTGGGCAACACAGGAGACCCTACTGCCCAAAAAAAGACTTTTGCATAAATGCACAAAAAGATCGCACTTCCTTGTTATCTCTGGGATGTGGGCATCTGTCCTGCAGTTCCTGCACAGGTCCCAGTCCTACAGACCACACCTGTCTTATTTTAGCTTCCAAATCTGGCCTTGCCCCAGACTGTGTCTGAATTTTGTCTGTCCAAATCCACTTCCTGAGAAGTGGCTTTGTCTTTGTGACCACACTGCTCAAGACACTCACCTGTTCTTCATGTTTTGACTTCGCCCTTGTTTCCCCTTTACCTCCCGCCTCATTTGTGGATAATGCGCTCTCTAATTTCGTGCTGAGACCTAACGTCTTTTCCCTCAAACTCAACAAGTCCAAACCATCAACTTTCACTGCAAACAAGCTCAATGCTCATATCTGTGGCTATCAGTTTTCTTTCCCTTAGCTGTCTTCAAGACTTGAAGTCAATCCATCTTTGTGATGGTAGGCAGGTAGGGAAGCCAGTGATAAACTATGAGGGATAACTAAAATGTAATCAGGTCTAATCAGTCAGGATGGCTATGAATGTTTCCTTTAAACTCTTCCCGCTTTCCCTTCCTTTCTGCTTCCAGTGTCTCAGCCCTACTTCTGGCTCCTCACTCACCCAATTCTTGCAATTAGCCAGACAGAGCTGGAGAAACTCCCATGAGCCCTAAGTGGTGCCTGTAGGGGTTCCCTCAGGCTTTTAGGAGCCCATGTCTTGGGAGAGGCTACAGTCAGGAAGAGACCCTTGAGGTCCTTCCCAGGCTCTACTAGAATTCCCAGCTACACAGTTTCCCGCTATGTCAGGAATCATCTTGTAGATCGTTGTCACCAGGTCTCTGGAAATTCTGTCCTTGAGCAGGGACAGAATTCCAGGAAAGTTTCTAAGGTTTATTGCAAAGGAACCTCAAGGACCTTGAGATTGCCCTGTGGAGAGTCCTGGGGAGTTTGTACCACTGTGGCAGAAGGGGATCCTTAGACTGGGGATTTAGCTCAGCAGCACAGTTGATTGCTTGGCAAGCATGGAGGTTTGTGAGTTCGATCCTTTACACCAAAAAAAAAAAAAAAAAAAAAAGGGAGCTGTGGGTCTTTAGTGTTCCTGTGGTTGCCATTTGTCTGATAAGTACTTGCAGAAGGCTCCTTCTGTGAGGTGCTGGGGCTACTGCTACAGATAGAATAGAAGCACACAAGTTCCAGCAGGCAGTACCTCGCAAACAAAAAGTAGGGGCAGAGAATAAAGACGCAGTCACGTAGATGCCGCGGGGTGCACACAAGCAGCCCCAGAGGGGCCTATTTTACCTCGGAGGAGCTACCAGAGCCCACAGTCGCTCATTCTGCTCTGAGTACTGAGAACAGGGCTGCGCTGTGACTAAGATGACACCATCAACTAACTGCAGCCAGTACTAAATCAGTGTCACTCATCAGGGAATACAATCAGGTACAGGGTGTGGCTCGGGCGTGGGGCACTTGTGGGAGGTCCAAGAAGAAAACAATTAAAATTTTTTTTCTTTAAAAGCCAGTCCCTAACCCCTCAGTCCTCGGTCCTGATAGAATTTTCGGCGCGGCTAAAAAGATAGAAATATGAAATAAACGTGGTTTTTAAGAATGCGGAGCCCGACCACTGAGGTTTGACTTTTCTCTCTGCTGGACACGTAGTGTGGGGGCATACATGTAGCTTAGGTTTGGGGTGGTGCCTAAGGGGCATTACTGATGCACAAGTAGTCCACTGGAATTCACTTCACCCACAGGTAAATTTCCTAGGGGCGGGGAAGGTGACCTCAAGATAGAGCCCCTTGGTTCGGCCTCCCAGCCTCCCACCGCCGCAGCGTCCCATTTAGGGCAAAATCCTTTCAGTCCAAACCCATAGAAATATAACACAAACCGCGTATGTATTTCAGGGTCTCACTCTGCAGTTCAGGCTGGCCTTGAGCTCACTTTGTAGCCCAGGCTGGTTTTGAACTTGCAGCGATCCTCCTGTCTCAACCTCCCGAGTGCCCCACCACGCCCAGCTTAACGTTATAGGCTATTTGACTCAGGGTATCCACTGTATTATTCAACATGCAAGCAACATACATTTTATACTTTCACGCCCAGTCTCCGGGCCCGGTACTTCCCGCGTGCAGCGCTGCCTCCCAATTCGGAGGGGCCGCGACTCCAGCGCCAAAACACTGGGCGGCCAGCGCGGCTCTCCCGCCTCCGCGCTCGCCCTCCTGCGGGTGAAGCCTTCCCGCGCCCTCGTACGTGCTCCACGTCACGGTGAGCCTGCGTCCCCGGCAGGCTGGGGCCGGAACCGCCACTGGACCCAGGACATCCACGTCTCCTCCGCGGCGCAGCCCAGACGGTCCGGCGTCGCCCTTTAATGACGCGGCGCCTGGGGTGGAGGCGGGACTTCCGGGTACACAGAGGCACAACTTCCGGAGCGAGGCGGAAGAGGCTCTGAGGTCTGCGCTCTAGAGTCCCAGGATCACCGAGGGGCCACCCGGAAAGGGCAACTGGAGCTGACCGGCCGTACTCGGGGTGTCGGGGTCTCGGGCCTGAGGGATGAAGAGCTGCCATGGCCAGCGACGGGGCCAGGAAGCAGTTCTGGAAGCGCAGCACCAGCAAGGTCCCGGGCAGGTGGGTGTGACAGGCTGAGCCGGGTCAGGGTCAGGGGTGAGAGGTCAGGCGGCCGAATCAACCAGCTGGGCTGTGGATGGCGTCGGGGTGTAGGGAGGGGAATCTGGGCTCGGAGGAGAGGAACCGGGGCGCGAGGGGAGAGCTGGGCGGTGCAAGGGGCGCAGGGGGAGCTCAGGGGTCGCAGCGCGGGGTTCGGGAGGTGACAGTGGCCACACGTAGGAGCAAGGCTTGCAGGGAGGATGAGCAGCCACCCGTTTTCCCGGAGCTGGCCGGCTGCCTTCTCCCAGCCCCAGGGCTCCCAGGGGAGTCCGAAGGAAACTGATTGGGGTCATGCCCTGGAGAGTTTGGCGGAGGCAGGAAACTGTCCGGGCGAGGCTGCTCCTGCTGGGGATGTCGCTTTCTGCAGAGGGCTTCCGAGACACTTGCCTTGCTGTCTCGTTGCCCCTGTGACCTGCTGCTTGTTCCCTGAGCGTGGAAGAGGGTTGGCTACATCCTGTGAATTTCCATGTTCCCACTTTCTGGTCTCAAGACCAACTCCAACGTGTCAGCAGCAGGAAGCAGATTTAAAAAAAATTCGATTCCTGGATGTACCCTGGAAGCAGTGCAGCTTCAAAGCCCTTCTCTGATTTTGGTAGCACTGAGCCCCGCAGGGCCCTGGGAAGGAAGAGACATTACATGAAAAATAGCTGCGGTAAAATCAGCCACTGGTGAGAGCACACTAGAAGAGACAAGAATACACTGAGATTTCAAAACATAGTTTTCTCTGTCCTGAAACTAAAGCCTGAGATATGCAAAATTAAGAACTGTGTTATTAAAATCACTTACGTAGAATCACTCATTAGCACAGTACAGGGCTTGTGCTCCTGGGTTTGGTAATAGACACTTGAGTGCCTGGTGGAATTGGCAGTTTTAGAATTCACTGCATACTCTTCAGCGTGGTCGGGAGTTGAGTGAGTGTCACCGCTCAGACACAGTGACTCAGAGGGTGAGCGCATCGTCAGTGGCGGCCAGAGAACCTATTTTTCTCTGCCAGGATGGGCTTCCTTGTACAATGAGAGCTTTCATCAAAACCGGTGTCAGGGTTCAAGATGAGGTGAAGATTCTGGAGTGGAGGCGGGTGGGAGGTCTGGGTGTAGAAGCCAGGAAAAAGGAGCCGGGTGGCCTGTCACTCACGTATTGCTTTCAGGTCTTGACATTGTTGTTTTTGTCCTGTCTAAACGCTGATTAGATCTTAACAATCAGGTGAGATGTAAGCGCTGCTGCATGGAGTTAGAGCAGTGAATAAACCTTTGAACTGAAGGCTGTGTCACCTGGTAGTTTGTCTCTGTACTGGGTTAAACGGTCCCTGAGTTCTTGTCTGTCTGGTGCTTGCAAGTGTGGCCTTATTTAGAATTACGGGCTTTGCAGATGTAATCCAGTTAAGATGAGTGTGGCTTGGAACAGGCCTTGGTCCAAGGGTTGGCATCCTCCTGAGATGAGGGACATTGGGCGCAGATGCAGGTACAGGGAAGATGGCCATGGAAAGATGGATGCAGAGACAGGAGTGATGCGTTTACAAGTCAAGGGAGCCAGGGCTTGCTGGCGGCCACCAGAAGCTAGAAGAGCCAGGGAAGAATCCTCCTCTGGAGACTTTGCCGAAGACATGGCCCTGCCAGTGCCTTGAGCTCACTGTTCTGTCCTCCAGAACCGAGAGGTTAAGTTTATGTTGTGTTGAGTCACTGTACTTGTGGGGGTTGTTGTGGCTGCCCCTGGAAACTAATACAGGCCCCGTTTCTGCGTTACCAAAGACATTCTTTTTCCTTGGAGTTTGGTATCGTTCTGTGTCTTTTGAGAACATCTTCCATGTGACAGGGACTGATGGCATTGCAGCTTGAGATTTGTTGGTGGCTGTCACCGAGAGGACAGGACATGGAGAGTTGGGTGTGCCAGAGAGGCCTGTGGCCCATGTGGTCCCCTGGCATCCTGTGGTCCTCATGCCCGGCAGTGCTGCTCGGCAGGTGACAGTTGGGCGCTCTTGCTGGGAGGATCCTCAGCAGTGTGCCCTTTACTGCCAGTAGATGGTGACGACCGCCCACGTCCTGGGTCTTCCCTTAGGCAGCCCCGTGCCAGCAGAACTCCCTGCTGTGCCTGCCATTTGCAGTGGTTCCGTGGTCATTGTGCTTTACTGAATGGTGATCCCAGGAATGCTCAGGAGAGAGACTGCACCCCCACAGGATACCCGGCTGCGGGGGAACTGTCTGTAGCTCAGCCCTTAGCAAATCCCGACAGTGTGGCTGACATCCATCAGGCACTTTGTGTTTGCCAAGCCTGGTCTTGGTGCTGCCTGACTGTTCTGTCCACCAGGGGTTTTGGGTTTGTGGAACACATGCTTTGCCCTTCAGGCTACACTCACCCAGTCAGGCTCGACTTAGAGCCTTGTGGTTATTCTCCCCTGAGAGGCTGGACCGTATGTGGGTTTTCCTGCCCGGCATCTAGGCCCCTTTCTACCTGGCCTGCTGTGCGGTTGCCTGGCCTCCTCTCCTGCCTGTCCTTTCTTTGCGGTTTGCTCCCTGATATTCCCAAATGCTCCGCTCTCTGCTCCCTGAGCTCAGCAGAGTGCTTCTTCCTTCCCTTTCATCTAGCGTACCTTTCTTCATTTTCAGACTTCGCTGCCTGGTATTTCCTTTTTGTTTTCTCTTTTGGAGACAGGGGCTCACTGGGTAGCTCAGGCTGGTGTTGGACTCATGACGCTCTTCCTGCCTCAGCCTCCTGAGCGCTGGGATTACAGTCATGCACCACTGCACTTGGCTCCCTCCTTACGAAGTGTGGCCTGTTTCTGTACGTGCGCTCTCCCACAGCCAGAGCCCGCCTGCGGCCGCGGGCCTGTGTGTGTACAGCTTGAGCCCGTGTCCTCTTACGCATTAGCTTTCCTCACCAGGAAGTGAGCTCCGCACACTTCGAGTGCGCCTCACTCACCTGCATGGTTCTGGTTGGTCCAGACTGGGCCGGTCGGTTCAGACTCGCCTTAGCCTGGAGGGAACAGAAGGCTTGAGCAAGGTCGCGCACTGTCCTGGGCGCACTTTGGTGTCTGCGAGGTTATGTGGCTGAGGCTTTAGCGGTTTCATTCCTGGGTGAGCTGGCAAGCGTGGTGTGGTGGGGAGACCTCTGACTGGGAGTCGGCTGGCTTTTACCCCTTCCCACCTCCCATCCCTGTGATGCTCACCAGGCCACACCAGCCCGGGGCCCCCTGGTGTCTGCTTCCGTGGCCTCAGCATCGGGGAAGCTGCATTTGGCCCAGCCGAATTCTTTGTGGAGAGGAAAGGCGAGGGCTCCTGGGCCTGTAAATATTTATTTGACCTGCAGTGTATGCCAGGATGTGCCCAGATGTGAGGGTTACGTGAATGAACAAACTGGACCAGATCTCTGCCCTCACAGAGCTCCTGGTGAGGGAGAGCAGACTGGTGCCTCCCCTGATGGAGAGCTCACTGCTGGTTGGGGATGGGGAAGCCAGAGGCAAGTGATAAAGGATTTGCATGAAGGGGAGAAGACCCCTTGGTGGCCGTGGAAGTGTGGTACAGGCAGGGGGGCCAGCCGTGGAGTGTGAGGCTGGGGTGGCCGTAGCCCAGGGAGGGCCAGCTGTGCTGTCCTGTGGAGATGCAGGCGGCCACTCTTGTTCTGAGGAGGGAGCCTGCTGGGGACACCCAGATGAGGGTCCACTCTCTGACTCTCTGGGCCTGGTCTCCCCAGAGCCATAGACTGACTGGCCCTCAGTGGCTGTCTCTTGCTGTAGTTGCAGTTGGAGCTCCTGCTGCGTTTTAGTGCCAAGACGGGGCCGCGCACTGGGCTTGCAAACACAGGCAGCCTTTCAGGGTGGCGCTGGGCTTTGCTGTTTCAGCACAGCCCTGGCTGGCAGCGTGTGCCCGCTGGAGGAGGGTGTGCACATGGCAGGGACTGTGGGGTGTGACGTTGGGAGTGTGACAGTGGCAAGGCCCTGCGTGCTCACAGTTATGTGCACAGCCCCAGGAGTCCGCGTGGAGCAGAGTCGGCTTGGCAGGCCAGCTCGTGTTCAGGGCTGGCTGGGGATAGTGAAGTCATTCAGAGGGACGTGGGCACCTTTGAGGTCCCAGGGATGGTGCTGAATGCAGGGTAGTGGACGCGGCCTGCAGAGGCCGGGGAAGGAGGAGCAGGGACCTGTTCTGAGGAGGTAACCGGGCACCTTGGCAGGATAACAGGGCCCTCGGTGGTGGGGCGGTCACTGCTTTCTCAGGACTCCTCACTGTGCTGGGACAGGGAAGAGGAGGGGCCACCTGTGGAGATGTGGGGTGGAGGGCACGGCTCTCCTGCTGGGACACTGCGGCCAGGGAGGGAGGAGGGCCCTGGGGGCCTTGGAGAAACGAGGGGCTGGGTCCTGAGAGCCGTGGACGTGGACAGCGCTGAGGGCTGTGGTGGGGTGTGCTGTGGCCGGGATGCTGCAGCAGCCTGGAGGAGGAGGACGGAGTGGGAGGCTGGGTGGGGGCGTGCACAGACTCCAGGCAGGCCGCAGGTGGAACTGGAGGGTTCACTGTCGGGCTGGAGGTCACTGATGGATCTGATCCCCAGACTTTCAGCCTGAGGGACCAGGGTGTGGCAGGCAGAACCGTGGTGCCTGCTTCCTTGTCCCTGGAACCAGTGAATACATTCTGTGACAAAGAGGAATTAGGGTTGCCAGTCTGCTGACCCACGTACAGACGTGTCCCGGATTATCGGGTGGGTCTAGCGCAACCAGACCAGCTCTCCAGGGTGATGGGGGAATGTGACCTTGGATGGACTTGGTCCTCAGTCGCTAGCCTTTTGTGCAGAGGAGGGGGCTAGGGAATATGGCTTTAGGATGACGCGGTGGCCTTCTGCTGACACACAGCAGGCAGTGCGGGTCTTGGTTGAACAACTGCAGAACGCTGAGCTCTGTGGGCAGCTGAGGTGGGCAGGAAACACATCTGCCCTGGAGCTTCAGGGAGGAGAGGGAGCCCAGGCAGGGAGGGCTC